TTCAGCTAGTAGCTCGGTCTGTTTATATTAACCTTCTCTGTAAAACAGGAGTGTATGGGGCAGCACTGTTAGCCAACCAGGCTCTACTAAAGTGCCCAGTGCTGTCAGTCTAACACACGTCATTTTCCTGATAAGAAAGGAGAAAATAGGTGATAATCTGTTTAGTGTGCTGCTGCTCTTTCTTAATTCAGTTTAACTCTGGGGCTGGTCTTTGACCAAGCATTAACTACAGTGGAGTAAGGGCAAAGACCATGCCATGCTTTCAGGCAGAGGAGAGGAGAGTGGGGGCTTGTTCACACCAAATGCAGACCAGATCTGCATGAGTTTCTGCACATGCAGTGCAGTGGGTTGTGCTGCATTTTTAATGCGTTCTGGCCCGTTTTTTTGTTTTTGTTTAAAATGGGCTTTCAGAGCGTTCCAGGGCGTTTGCATGCGTTTTTAATGCGTTTGCATGTGTTCCAGAGCAGGTAAAATAGGGCTTGCTGCAGTTTTTTTGCATACTCTGGAACTGAACGTTGCTGTGTGAACTAGAGCCCAAAATACCATTGGAATACATTTGACACAGTTTTGAGCCGGTCTGTAACTGCTCTGGTCTGCTCCTGGAACGCGCATAGTGTGAACAATAGGGCTGCAACAACTAATTGACATAATCGATTATAATCGATTATTGAAAAAGTTGTCAACTTTTTCAATAATCGATTAATCAGCTTCTGATCAGTTGGCCCTGTTCACGGCTCCACACACGCTGCTCTATAATGTATTGCTGGGATTTGTATTCCTCTATAGCTGATGGTACATTGTGCTGTATATTATACATAGGAATACAAATCCCAGCAATACATTATATACTGTATGTATAATGTACTATTGCTGGGATTTGTTGTACTCTATAGTTGGTGATATTCTGCACTGCGCTGCATAGAGGACTACAAATCCCAGCAATAATACATTATACAGCGCCATGTGGAATTCCACCAGCTATAGAGGAGCACTACAAATCCCAGCAATAATACATTATACAGTGGTGCACTGCCGAATACCACTGGCTATAGAGGACTACAAAACCCAGCAACAGTACATTATACAGCGCAATGCAGAATACCACCAGCTATAATGTACTATTGCTGGGATTTGTTGTGCTCCTCTATAGCTGGTGATATTCTGCATTGCGCTGTATAATGTACTATTGCTGGGATTTGTAGTCCTCTATAGCTGGTGCAATTCTGCATTGATTGCTGTATCATTTTACACTTTCCATTTCACTATATTGCACACCACACTTTTTTTTCTTTTTTACTTCCACCGCTCCAAGCTTGCTCCTTTCAATACAAACTAGTAGTCCATCACTGGAGCCATTTTTAAAAATGTATTTGATTGTTTATCCGATTAACCGATTAATCGAACTTAATAATCGGCTAACTAATCGATTTTGAAAATAATCGTTAGCTGCAGCTCTAGTGAACAAGGCCTCAATCTCAAGATTGGTTTAACAAAATCACCAAACAAATTTACCCAGTTCTGTTTTCAGATCATTCTTACTTTTCAGTAGTGAGTGACATTCCTCAATTCAGTCACTATGTTTGCTTTGGCATTATGGTTTTTCATTCACTCGGACAAATAAAAATCAAGCTTTACAGTTGTTGCTCCAGTAGCTCATTTTGGACATGATACATGAGCAGAAATGCTCAGCAGGCCTGTGTGTCACTTCCTTCAGGGACTTCCAGTTTTACTGACACAGGGATTGCAGCCAGCTTTAGAAAGCAACACTACCGCTAATCTACCAATTTTTTTCCTTTACATTATTGTTGTACTAAATTGATCAGCCATAACAGTCTGACTTCTAAGAGGTGACATGAATAGCATTGACTATCTCTTTACAATGGCACCTGGAAGTGGGGAGGATATATTAGGCAGCAAGTGAACATTTTGCCCCCTGAAGTTGATGTGTTTGAAGTTGAAAAAAATGGCCAAGTGCAATGATTTCAGTGTCAAGGACCCAATTGTGATGGCTAGAAGACTGGGTGTGAGCAACTCCAAAACGGCAGCTCTTGTTGAATGTTCCCACTCTTCAGTGGTCAGGACCTACCAAAAGTAGTCCAAGGAAGGAAAACTGGTGAACCGGTGACAGGGTCACGGGCGGTCAGTGCTCATTGATGCACGCGGGGAGCAAAGGCTGGCCTGCCTAGTCTGATTCAATAGAGATCAGTGAAAAAGTTAAAGCTGGTTTTAATTGAAAAGTGTCTGAACACACAGTGCATCGCAGTTTGTTGCGTATGGGGCTGCATAGCCACAGAGTGCCCATGCGGACCTGTGTCCACTGCCAAAAGCACCAACAATGGGCAAGTAAGCATCGGAACTGGACCACGGAACAATGGAAGAAGGTAACCTGGTCTGATGAATCAAGTTTTCTTTTACATGTGGATGGCTGGGTGTGTGTCACTTACCTGGGGAAGAGATGGCACCAGGATGCGCTATGGGCAGAAGGCAACATTGTTGCTGACCAAGTACACCCCTTCATGGAAATTATATTACCTGATGGCAGTGGCCTCTTTCAGCAGGAAAATGTGCCCTGCCATACTGAACCTGGTTCAAGAATGGTTTGAGGAACACAGTAATGAGTTTAAGGTGATGACTTGACCTCCAAATTCTCCAGATCTCAATCCAATCGAGCATCTGTGGCATGTGCTGTAAAAACAAGTCCGATCAATGCAGGCCCCACCTCACAACTTACAGGACTTCAAGGATCTGTGACTGATGATACTGCCAGATACCACAGCATGTCTTCAGAAGTCCAGTGGAGTCTATGCCTTGATGGGTTAGGGCTGTTTTGGCAGCACATGGGGGACCTACATAGTATTAGGTGGGTGTTTATAATGTTGTGACTGATTGGTGTATATTTTAAAGGGTAAGTTCGTAAATTGTGAGAAATTAACTTGCCAATACCACCCCTGCCACCTCTCCCAGCCCCCACTGAACATACATCTGCGATCCCTTGTCAGCCAGTGTACAGTCTGTAAACCATACTGCACAGCCCCGCATTATGTAATGATCAGAATGTTTGCAAATGGCGAGCACTCATTGGTCAGCGCGGTCACATGACCACACAGACGGATGTTCAGGACCTGGTCCTACACTGAAGCGGTTCTCAATGGTCAGAGTGGTCATGAAACTGTGCCGGCCAATGAGAAGCACTTCTGACTTGCTAAAAGTCCTTTTCATTGGTCAGCGTGGTCAGGTGACCATGCTAACCAATGAGTGCTCGCCCATTTGCAACACGGCTGTATGTGGTACGGATGGTGCACTGGTGGAGGGGAAGGATAGCAAAGGTAAGCATAGCAAAGGGGGTAAGAGGGGGCTAGATTGGAGGGGCTAATTCCATTTTCCAAAATTCACCTGGGAAAGTGGAGTTACCCTTTAAATGAGTCTAGCCTTGGTTCCCTACACAAAAAGTGCAATAATATAAAGTACTATTGCGCTTTTATTCTTCCCTTGTTCACATGTACTCCCAAAATAACCATAAATGTGCCCAGATATCTCCCAACTGGACAGCCACTCGCCAACTAGTTTGCCTCCCCACAACAGAGAGGTAAACACTCCCTTTCACTTCTGTCTTGTCATTAGCTTGTGGGATTAGTCATTTCCTCCATTCCTACTCCCCATTACAGAGAGACTGTGATCCCCAATATCTTTCTTTTTATATTTCAAACCTTCTCTTCCACACAGGAAGGCAAATTCCATTTATTTAAAAAGCATAAATTGAAAAATTTACCCCTGGGCATACTTATGAATACAACAAATGTGCCACATGTTTGTATCGCTGTGCATGCCATAAAAAACAACTCTCAGGCCAATGTTCATGGTTAACACTAAGCTAACGAGCTATACAGGCATTAAAAGTGTTTTCCGGACAATTTCAGTTGCCGTATTTTTGTGCCATTTCACGGCCACATGCAATTTTTAAGCTTGCCCTATTTTGGTATCTAATTACTCAGCATAACCTCATTTATTATGATTAACAAAAAAAAAGAGGGGAATTATTTTGTGTCTTTGTGCATTAACCTCTTGCCGTCCGCCCGTAGTAAAAAAACGGACGGACGGCACTGCTACATCTGCGGGTTGCCGTTTCCAGACGGCAATTTTTTTCTGCTCGCGCGCGCCCCCTAGCGGGCACGCACGGGCAGAAAAGACCCGATCAATGCACACACCCGTTACCGGGTGTTTCACATATAGGCGATCAGCGGGTCCATAGCCCGCCGATCGTCTATATGTGCTCGTTCGCGGCAGCTAACCTGACCCCTCACCTTGATTCCCGGGATCCGCTGCCCCATCTACTGAAAAATGGCCTGGATGGGAAGGGGGTTTAACACCGCGGATGTCAACTGGTTAAAATAAGTTAAGCTTATTTTTTTATGACATATTGGGTTTGTTAGAGTTGCGCAAACATAATGGAACATAAACTTTTTCAACTGCCACCATTTTATTCTACAGGGTCAGTGCTTTTAGAAAATATATAATCTTTGTGGGGTTTAAGTAATTTTCTGTCCTAAAATGTGGATTATAATGTGTGCAGAAAGCACAGAAAAAAGCCTTTGCAGCAAAAGCCTTAATGATATGGAGTGGTTCTGAATGACCCAATTCTTTACATTTTCTAGAGGCCTGCATGTCAGCTTTGCTTCTCAGTATGGTACCCATAGTATGATCAGAAGCCAGGTCTTTGTTCTGCTCCTTCCTACCTCTTCCTAATTACTTTTCTCTAAGAAGACCCATTATTGGAATGGGCCAGTAGTGATGAGGAGAGGGTTGGAGCCAGCGGCCATTGTAGAAAGTTGCATATCATACAGCAGCAGAGCTGCCATAGAGGTATCAGGAGGTACCTGAGAGTTCATGTTTTCTTTCATTTATTTTTAGTGGGTGGCAATAATGCATAAGTTTTTGCTTTCTTTTTTTTTTTTTTAACCTTTTGAATGCAATGAACATATTCCCTCTGCTCTATTTTTCAGGTGGTATCATGGCAAGCTAGATAGAACAATTGCAGAGGAGAGACTGCACCAAGCTGGCAGGACTGGAAGCTACCTGATCAGGGAGAGTGATCGAAGGCCGGGGTCTTTTGTCCTTTCCTTTCTTAGTAAAACCAATGTAGTCACACATTTTAGGTAAGTTTTATATAATATAAATGCTTTTTATCCATTTTTGGTTTCTGCGTTTTCCATATTCAGCTGTGAAATGACAAGATGGGATTTATTTTGTTCTACAGTTGCAGTGTGTTGTTAGGTCTGTGTGTTTGTTCATTTGTATATGGCCACCTTAAGCTGTCTAGGGTTTAGCAGTGCATGATTATGCCAGGTAAGGCAGGGTATATTGCCACATAAATTTAGTTTTTATATTATTTTTGCATGAGCCAGAAATCTACCAGTTCCCAGTATAAAAACACATATGCTGGCTGATTTAGGTGAAAAGGAATGTTGGCGTTTGAAATGCAACAATCCGTAGCAGCCAGTTGGTGTTGACTTCAATGTATACAGTTCAGCAAAAGCTGAATTCTTGTTGCTTAGGGTTACTGCACATTGTTTTTCACATTCATAGCCTTAGAGGTATAGAGTGATAACTAACTTCTTTCCACAGTACCGATAGTTGAAATGTGTAATGGTCTCTCCACTTCCTTTTAGGATTATAGCAATGTGTGGTGACTTCTACATTGGAGGTAGACGCTTTTCTTCACTGTCAGATCTCATAGGATACTACAGTCATGTGTCATGTTTATTGAAAGAGGAAAAGCTCTTATTTCCTGTGGCACCTCCAGAGGTAAGTGATGCATGATGCAGTGTAAAGCCATTTTGCCATAAATACTGCTAGTTTCCTGCAAGATGCTACTGATTTCCTCAGTGTACATCACAGGACACAGGAAGTTATTTCTGGAACCATTGGGTTATGCAGCTTCCTTCAGGTAATTGGACATTGGCAAATCATAGCTATGAGGGCAGAGATGTATAATCCATCCCTGTTTAACATATCTGTATAAACCATGGAAATTAATGCAGCATGTGGAATAGCTGCAGGGTCATGGTCTATCTCAGTGGAGGTATCTTCAGCGGTATGCTCACAAGGGACGGTGAAGATCGGAGGGGACATGTAAATGGCCACTGGTCCCCCCTAGAGGATGAAGGGGCTGCTTCCAGTTCGGTGGGCCCAGGTAGAGAATCCATCTCTTGTTTTCTCTTAAGCTTAAGGGAGAACTATGGGGTTAAGGTTTTTCCCCATAGTTCTCCTTAGGGTAACGGGAGGACACAAACTAGCGTCCTCCCGTTACCCTAAGCTCAGTATACCGCGAGCTGCTGCGACCTGTGACAGTCTCATTGTCACAGGTTGGCTAGAACTATGAGGTGAGTGAAAAGCACTCACCTCATAGTTCTCCTTTTAAGGACACTCTTTCTGTCCGTACTGACACATTGTGATTCTGTTTGCAGTTAGTGACCTGCATCTGCCTTGCCCAAGGTCACTGGTCAGGGTTCCTTAAAAATGGCCAAATCATCAAAAACCCTTCCGGTACACTCCTTTTTTTTTTTTTTTTTTTACAGCTGGTGTTGTGTTGTGAAAGTTAGGGGGGTT